TTAACTGAATATCCAGTTATCAACATTTGGGATAGCATTTGGATTGATAGATAATTAACCACTTCATTCGAGCAGTTAAAACGACGTTTACTACCACTCGAACTTTGAAATAAAACATTATTTTGAAATATTTTCTTCTAGAACCACGAGAAAAGTAGCCAACATTTGCGCGTTTCATAAAAAATAGAAATTAGTTGGTCCAGTTTTGTGAAATCGCTGGTAGAAAGTCACGCCAAAACTGCTTGACAAAGTGGTCAATTGTAGATTAATTTCCTTGAATGGCAAGAGGAATCCAAATGGAACCTGGATCATTCAAATTTACGTCGCTCCGTTGGACGATGAATGGCACGAAATGGATGTGGTGTGTTATCAACATATTTGGCAACACTGGAGTGACCCCGTGTAAACTCAAACTTAAATTACATGAGGAAATCTTTCTCTGAGCTGACACGTCCTGTCCTAGGGTAGGATGGATTACAAGGAAAATAAAATCAAGCGTAACTATTCAAATCGACGTATCTGCTTTTGAAAACAAACACTTCAATCGACAATTTGGCTTAAGGTGATTCCTTGCAGAGTCCACAAATGGCCGCCACGGAGGCTATACATGTTCTTCCACATCGAATTGTCAATAACACAAATCTTTGAAATTAATGCCCCATTTCACCTGAAATTGCTACTTCATGTATGGTACAGTGCAGCAAACGTGGAGTAACAGTTTCATTGTGATACGTGTCGTGAAAGCTGATATTTGTGCACTTTAAGATTCGAAGTGGTTACGAGAATAAGGATCTCACAGCGAAACACCTACTAACTCACCCATGCAAACAAACACCATCATCAGGTAGGGGAATCCCAAGTAACCAAAAGTTCTGATAAAAGGCTATTTGTGGCTTAAGCAGCTTGGTTCAAGGTGGTCTATAGAATTCTAAGCAGCCTCATTTTTAAGTCGTTATAAGAACTTGAAAGTTCCGGTACCATAATTGAAGAGCATTCTAGACAGCTTCTGGCGCAACCTGAACGGTGCTTTTAGAAAATAAATTAAAAAAGGTTTTTGTCCTCTACACACATTTTATGATTAGTTCGCACTTTTATGAAAGTTATTTCTAAAGGCAGGTATTAATGTGTATTTGATTTATCAGCATTAGTAGAAGAATTGGAACTGTTTGAAGAATTAAACTCAGTCCTTCTGCGTGAGAGTCCCAGCATGAACCGCTACGTCATCTGAGATATATTAAAGTGAGCTGTTGTCCCGCCTACTGTTGGAGTTTTCAGTGCCAGCTGACTGACTTGAATACGAAACACAACACCTTGATGAATTTTAAATTGGTGTTTTCCCGAATGGTATTCCAACCCACTTGTTGCGCAGTGGTAAGCAATCGTAGATCGCATGCCAAATACACTGGTTTGAATCCAGGAAAGTTATCAATATATATATTTTTTATGTTTGGATGGAATATTGATGCACTGCATAAATATAATAATTTATGATTTATTCGGGCCTCTGATCATTTCATATTTACGTACATTATATTTTGTTACTAATAAAGACATTTGCGGATTGCTTCATGTGGATTGAAAGTTCTGTCGGGACTTTATTCGAACTTTATGGAACTTTAAAGTTCTGTCGGAACTTTATTTGAACTAAATGGAACTTGGAAGTGATTTTAATCATTGAATGCGGAACTTTGGTTACTTTGGATCTTTCTTCTACTATCTGGTGTTGTTAGTTTTTGTGAGTGAGCCAGCAGTTGCCAAAAATCGTAGACTGAAGTGATTGTTTACATAATCAGATACGTCGATTTGAATAGTTACACTTGAAATATTTTAAAGATTTGTTTCCTGGATTTTTGTGGTAAATAAAAATAAAAAGAAACAAATGTAAATGACAGCAACAGTAAAAAATAATTACAAATAAATTCCAGGAAAGCATCGAAAGATTACTTTCACTTTATACTATCTATGCATAAAACACTTTTATACTAAATTCGTATTTTCTTTCCTTATACCGAATTATGCGTCGAGAAGGATAGTTGCGATTTTTTTCTCCCTTTGTTGGGGACCTAGCACTACTGCGACCAGTAAATTGATCTATTGTAGTATATCCCGTGTCCTTAGTTTAGTGCATGTCGTATTATTCCATCACTATTGAGAAATGATGAAGTTGCCACTCTTGCATTTATCGCAAGGATCCGACTCTAATTGAAAGGTCCCGCTATTTATACCCTTCGGAGTGTTGAAACACCCTCCAAAGGCGCGCCCTTTGTCAGTCAAAATTGGATTCCTTATCAACAAAATTAAGGTATGACACCGATAATGACCATGCATCAGAACCCTAGTCTTAACCATTTCAAACTAGGGAACAACGAATAGAAGATTAGGAATCACATAGATGAAGACAACTAACTCATTTTTTCCTTGTTTCAAGATCATCCTCGGTAGACAAAGCCGAGTCTTGTCACCATCAACAAGGTATAAAAAGTAACAAGGACTAAGATGTGTTCCTTGGATTACTGAAAAATCCTGTTCCCCTAGTTTGAAGTAGCTAGGACTAGGAATCGGTGGTAGATCTTACATCCCGTAACGTACCACGAAAAGGTGATCACCCACGTTACGGGGCTAGTTGCGATTTAGTGTAACTTTTATTCAATTTAGAGTTGAACATTATTTGCGTGTACTTTTAAGACGTAGCATATTGTTGGCCAATTTTAAACACTACTTTACTATCTTTTCGGAAGCTTTATCAAAAAATAATAACTTAAGGTATGTGCTTAAGATGTATCACCAGAACCATGTAGCTTAATCAACAGGTCAATATAAATGCAAATGATTGCACATTTTAAGCATAAGGATAAATCATGTTCCAGTTTATCGTTTAGCCAAAAATTAAACGCTTAAATATTCATGGGAAGGGGTATCCTTACGATGATGATGATTCTTTGGCTAAACATTGCTTATTCAGCATTTAATCAGATCAAATTGTTTGTTGGGTTATTCAATAATTTTATGAATATCGACATGAGTTGATGTAAGACAAATGTTTTTTTGTAGAATTACAGTCGACAACTACAGAAACTAGGAACAGGGTAGATGTACCAGTTATGGCTATACGTTGCTATTATGCACACTTAGTTTTTTCTACCGAGCTCGGCTGTGCAAATCTCGGCGAAAATAAGTTTCACTGAGATCTCAGAAAAAGTGACATTTGATTGCTGAGTCTCGGATAATGCTTAGCTGAATCTCAGCAAACAAATGAAATGTTCGCTGAGATCTCAGTAAAACTATTTTTGCCGAGATTTGCACAGCCGAGCTTGGAAGAAAAAACTAATTGTGTGATATGTTGCAATTATCGCCTATGGCTAGAAATCTAGTTAATAAAGATTAAAAGAAAAAAAAAACAAATTATGACCTATGGGAATTCCAAAGGCCATAATTGGAACGTATATCCATAACTGAAGAAATTTTAAACAATTTGCTCCTGTTTTGAACCTAACACTATAACTCAGACTTGAAGCATTTTTTATCAATTTTCCAAACCTAAATTGAACTGAATGGATTTCCACATCCCATTAGATTTCAAACTTAACTCACATAGTAGGTGCAGCCTTATTCAGTAATATAAAATAGGTTAGATCGGATTTTCTCAATTCCAATAAACACTGTTCCTCCTTCTGTTTATTCGGCTGTATTACGTCCCTACTGGGATTCTACGCTGGCCCTCAACTTAGTGTTCATTGAGCACTTCCAGTGCTCTCTATGCCTGTACCAGTTCTGCATTAGTGTAATTGTGTGGCAAATACAATCACCGAAAATTTTCAAAATTCCATGGTATTGCTTTATAGCTGCGCCTTTACCGACTGACTGAGCTAAAGAAGGCCCCAATAAACTCTAGCACATCGTCAAATTTGCCAACTATCATACCTACACCGAGCACACCAATTTATCACTGTCAATCTTAATCAAGTTTTTCTTCATTCTCTCCAGTAGTGTCAATATACTTTGTCACACCTATTTGCAAATCTTAAACCAGTTCTCGTCGGCAAATCAGCTCATTAATCCTCTCCGCACGCTACCATTTGTTCCAGCAAAGTGGACTCGCGAATCATGACACACAGGCAAGAGTTCAAAAAAACTATAAAAAAAAATCCAATTTGAATTTATAATCATCCTTCCGAACTGTTTTCACGATCGAGGAGTGAGATGTGATCTTCTTAGCTTCTATTGGGAAGATTAATTCTTCTGCTTTCTCCCGACGAATATCACTTAAAAATCACTGCAAAAAAAAATAACACCACAAACTATGTCACCAATGGTCAATAACGGTACAAATTCAGCGTTGCCCCTGGTTTATTAAAAATTCAGAAATTCTCGCACCAACGAGCACCACAGTCCGTCACCACATTCACTATCTGACACACTTTCTTCGAAGGCGCCCCAGATCACGAGGAACATAAAAATTCTTGAACTTTTTGCGTATCGACGCACCAGAGCGCACCGATTGTCGAGCTTAATGCTGATCGATTGAATTGTAGGTTTCAACAGTAGATAACTAGGTGTAGATAGAGGTAGGTACATAGAGGCACTTCCTCAATATTTCACAGCTCAAGTGCAATGGCGAGTAATCTTCAACCGAATCTCCCACACAGCACTCGCGACTTACAGCGGAATCCATTGCACCATTGATATGCGCAACCCCTGCTCTTCTGCGCTTCAAACATACACTTCCAACCCGAACAATAGAGCACTGCACGCTATTCAGAGACCTGTATGTGGCGTATACCCCTAAACTAAGCTGCAACCAAGTTCAATCGATTTAAATAATTACTATGTTTTCTGAATAATAATTATCACACGAAGCCACCAACTGCAGTATTCCGAAAGCATACACACTTCCACCTAAAGTACCACCTTCTATCGGGTCAAACACTTTTCCTTAAACAGTACCTCACGTTTTGGGCCACATATACGCTTCTTAACGTACCACCAAGCTAGGTACTAACATTTTATTTCACTGTAATCCAAAGTTGGTAATCCAGACGTTGATCATTTCCTTTCCGCTAGCCGCTACCCTGCAACTCCAATTTCAGTTCCAGTTCCAGATTTGCAGTGCTCCACTTAATGAAATGCTGTTTCTGGATACCGGATCAATTGATTCTCAACAGCACGCACTTTTCTTTAAATGATGGTTCTTGCGACAACACACGATCACACGACGGACAGCGTAAGACTAATTCTTATTCATCCCGATGACTTGCTTTTATACACAAGCGCTTCCCGGCCCCGGCCACGGACAGACGAACTAGCGGACGGGTTGAGGACGATGAGGCGGCCAGATACTGCCGCCGACACCACAAGGGGGCCTGGGATGGGTGACTAAACTTGTTCCCTCCCTTGTGCGTTCGTGTGTGTTCTTTTCGTAAAAAAAAAATCCTGCGGGATCGATTCACACTGAAGTGGCTGTGGGGCGGTTTTCCCTCGGGAATGTGCTTCGCGATATTTACTGTATGCTGCAGCGGAAGTGCATTTGTGGATGTTACATTTAAGTTATAGTGCGTTGGGTTGGGTTATTTGTTTCAGATAAGATAATGAGTATATGATTACATTGTTTGTTTACTACATGGAGGTACATTCTACATCTTATGCTTTTAGAATGAACCATTTTAATGTTTGTCAATCAATGTGACAGCACCCTTTCTCCTACTTGTGGTCTGGTAGATATTGTTGACCCAATTTCCTAGGTCATTTATGAACTAGTATGATGTGTAAACATATTTTAGGAGATCTGTTGATGAATTTGAAATCAACTGTAACAGGAATACCGTATGCGTGATAATGTGTGCACTATTGAGCAATGTAAAAATTAGTCTTAAACTATGTTAATCATCGATCGAGTTTCCACTTGCTGCAATTACGGCCTCCACACGCTTCCGGAATGCACGGCAGGTTATTATTACTATTATTATTATTTATCTTTATTAGGGAGGCTTTCAGCCTTGGGCTGGTTCGCCTCCAACTTGCACGGCAGGTTCTAATAATGTAGTCTGGAGCCATTTCTCTCCAGGTACGGGTCAATGTTTGTCTGAGGCTTGCTGTACTCGGATGGCGTTTAGAGCAGGCCTTGGACTTCATGACGCGCCTTATTGAGTAATCCAGCGGATTAAGATCAGGGCTGGATGGTGGCCACATATCCTTCGCCCTGAACGGAAGATGTTCCTGCAACCACTTCTGAGTGCGGTTCAAGGTGTGACACGGAGCCCCATCTTGTTGAAATACAACATTTGGCTTCGGACCGTACTGTTCTTTGATCCACGGAAGAACATACTTACTTAAAATCCCGATGTAGACCTCCGTGTTGACCTTGTCGCCTTCTGAAATGAACACCGGGTCCATTTTTTTGCCATCGGAAGCCACCAATCCAAACACCATAACGCTGGCAGGATGCTTGGGCAGATACACGTTCTTGTGCTCGTCGGCCAAGTATTTTACCAGAAGAGAACTAATATACCGGTCTGTTCTGGAATTTGATACGGGATCGACGGTAAACATGCTCTCGTCGGTGAACCGGATTTTTTCGCTTAAGGAAGTTCAAGATTTTCTTGCATCGTTCGACTCGTAGCTCCCGGATGCGTTTGGTAATCATGTGAGTTTTTTTCCGTGCCCTCGACTTCGCCCCGCAATCTTCCGTGCAGTAAAGTCACTGATCCCGTGTTCCTTTGCAATTTTCCTTATTGAACGCACTAGATTCACCCGAATCTTCCTTCTGATAGCAGTGATAACCTCGGACGACCTGTGGCCACCTTCGCGGATAGTTGTCCTTTCTTTTCTCGGTCTAAAACCCTTTTGACGGTCCACCGGGATACTCCCACGGCGATTGAAATGTCTTTTTGCGATATTTGCGCGTGGGACAAATCACGAATACGCTGCCACTTCGTCATGGTGCAACTGTCAAACTAAGTAAATCATTTTCTTTTATACACAGCCTACTACGGTATGAGCTATAGGTTACGTGCATGCAAAGAAAACCAAGACATTGTATGCACAGGTGAAACGGGAACCTTATTTGTACGATGGTGCAAACATTATCACGCATACGGTACAATCCATGCCTTAGGGCAAGTTTTTCATTTTTATGAACAAATTCAGCTACGGTAATGAAACGATGTTGTCAGCCTCTCCGCGCCTTTAATAATTTCACATAACCGTAATTCCATATCTTTCTCATTCATCTTCAAGATGGATGTTTATGGTGCAATTAGACCATTAAAAAAGCGTAGAACATTAGAAAAGATTTTCAAAAACGGGGAACTGGGGAAATCTGGTCATTACTGTTCTAGGCAAATTTGAAGTTTTAAATTAAGTTTAAAAACTATAAGGGACAGCCCTAAGGGGTTGTACGCAATGGTAACGTAGGACTACATGGTCTTATATAATAAATCTTATTTGTTAACTGCAGCAGGAGCTTGTGTTTTGTGCAGGAATAGGAATTTGAGCGGAGTTCTATCTGTTTATACTGTTTAGTATGACTCGCTTGACATAGATGGCCCTCAGCGACTCACGAAGAGCTACTGATTCCGATCAATAGCGGTGCGGCTTCTTCCTCCTTCTATGGCTGCTCATGTGGGCTGCAGATCGCTGCTTGCAGGCAGCCTTTCGTTGCGTAGTGGAGAACAACTGTTCAATACCACGCGCCGAAAGCACTGCTGCTGCTGCTGGTGATGATGCCGACGACCGGACACCACCACACACGGTGATTGGAACTGAATCCGATCAGCGGTTGAGGGCAGCCTTGATAGCTGCTCGGCGAGGAGCCTTTCTTTGTGTACTGGAGAACACCAGCACTCACCACGCGGTGATTGAATAAACACCGTTTGGTAACACCGGCTGGAATTCAAACTTTGAAATCTGTGTTAGGGAAGCCGCTTTTCGCAGGCAATCGGTGATAATTTTAATTATCATAGCAACAGTTGCACATTCGTGTAATTTTCAATAGTTGTAGTCCTACGTCAAAAGGTATTTATTTTTGGCAGTTCAATAAAAGCTTTCTAAAAGAATGGTAACTCATATCAATAGAAGTAAAGTTTCAAACTGAAATAACTTCGGAGTTTCTTATCTTATCGATTCGGTATGTTCAGATGATTTATTAAAAAACAATTTTTCAATTTCATAGGCATGTTAAGAGATGGGGGACTAACTTTACCCCGCCCATTCACCCATATAAATGGAGGTAAGGCTTCAAACTGCAATAAGTTCAGTGTTTCTGATCTTGTCAAGTTGGTATGTTCAGATGTATTCAAAAACATGTGCTCCATTTAATAGGCGTAGTTAGATATGGAGGGGGGGCTTACTGTATGCTTTACGCCCTCACTTATAACAATGAAAGAAAAGATAAAGACTAAAATAACTGCGGAGTTTCCCATCTCTCGAGTTGTTCGGATGGGTTATTCAAAAACATATGCCTAATCTCATAAGAGCAGTTGTAAAGCGAGTACCAATATACCAATGTCAGATATATTCACACAAATTTCATTGGATTGTAATGATTATATTTCATTTTAATATATTCTACGATTTCTCAGGGTACTCTTTTCGATGCTGTTCTATCCCTTGAAGCAAATATTGCTGTTGAACTAGGTCTCGGGTGGATTTCTTGATAAGTCAGAAATTAACTTCACCCCTCATTCAACCATATCGTTGGCAACCATCAAGGAAGCAACTCGTTGTATCGCATTGACATAATCTGTATCATTACTCAACTCGTTTGCCGGTTTTTGCATGAAGTCGGTCGAAATTTCGAAAAGGAATCATTTCCCAGCTGCTAATAATTCAAACAACATCTCCTCACTAACAAATGAACCGACAAGTGAATATTAAATATTTACACTACAATAATTTTCGTTTTAAAAACTGCATACAGTAAGCCCTTCCCTAATCCCCCTGCCCCGCTGTCTAACAACGCTTTTGAGATTGAGCAAATGTTTTTGAATAATTCATCCTGAACATACCAAATCGATAAAATAAGAAACTCCGAAGTTATTTCAAACTTGACATGTTTGTTTACGTCTCATTCTTTATGTCAAAGATGGATTGCGTCACGTGTAAAATGAGGTATTTCCAAGTGTGTAGGACCTCTCCAGAAACGTGCCCTCTCATTAATCAAAATGGGTCTTACATGAATCCTCATTCAATTGTGAAGTTCAGTATCTTGTGAAACATTCTGGGATCTCTTCAAATATGCAACTTCTCAGCATTCAAAATAAGTCTTCTTAATGAGAAAAAACAAGCGATGATACTGATATGCTTCGGAACCCTGGTCCGAACCTTTTCTTGTATCCAATTTCATAACTGAGGTCAACAAGAAGAGCTTCAGGTCAGAGTTCGGTGTGGTAGTAACGTATCACGAAAAGGTGATACGGGGCGAATATAGCCATACTATTATAATGAATATGAATATGAATGGATATTTGACTGCATATTGATGATTATGGTGATATTAGGCTAAGCAGTCTTTATAGTTTAGAACAAACGATTAAATTTTGTCCAATGTTTCGATGCCGGTTAGCCGGTTCAGGGAAAAAAATGACGAAGAACAAAATCATTTTTTCCCTGAAGAATATGCCAACCCGAAGAATATGCCATGCCGAATATCACCAAAATTATAATGAACATCAAGAAAAGCATTGCACACAAGATATGTAGGGGAAATGTCGGCTTCGGCATGACAGACTATTTTCGGCAACCCAAATTGAAACACTATTTTCACTGGATTTTCTTACGAAAACACTTCGTTGAATGCATGCAAACGATTCTTTATGCTTTCAGCTTCAATTTGACTATATTTTTACCATTGAGAAAAAGCAATCTAGCAAGGTTTTCTTGAAATGCAACACACGCACTACAAATTGTAGCTGATTTCGAGTTGCCGATAATAGAACAGCAGATTTACATGCAGTTCAAATGGAACGGTTGCCGAAGAAAAACTGGTTGCCGACAATACTCGCTCTCACTAGAGAAGATTGGAGCTTTGTAAAAGTGTTTCAAAACAGTTTTTGACAATTCTTTCGACTGAAATTGTTAGAGCAGCTGGCAGCAAAAGATTGTAAACAAACCAATACTGCATATGTGTGCGTTCCTTAGAGAAAAAGGCTATAGAAAGAAGGTCGCTGCTTAGGTTGCCGAGAATACGTAAATTCCCCTACCTGCTGTAGGTTTGTGATCA